GTTATGTATAATATATTACATTTCTGACTGTATATCCCTGTAATTATTACACACTGTAGCTTTAAGAGTTAATCACACTATAAATTTGAGTGTCAGCAGCACACTTTTAGAGTTTGGAATTGCTTGAGGCTTCATGTAGGATCGTCCCTTAGGAATGAATGCTCTCTACAGTTTTTAACACTGTCCCTTTTTTTCTGTTCATGTCAGTTATGGGCCCCCCAGCCTCTGAACTCATGTGCTTCATCAGAGCCATGTGATGTGAATCTAATAGAGCGAGTAAAATCCTTAAGTCAACTGGTCTTTCAAAGCAGGATGAAAAGTATAAAATCAGATGGTTGCCTGGAGTGAGATGTTCTGCACAGTATAGCAGAAGATTTATGGGCTTTTTTTCTTTTTTTTCCTCTACACATTTGTAGTGAGAGGCATATTACAAACACCAACTTGGAGAAGAGTTCTTGTCTGAACCTGTCCTGAAACAGCATATTATGATGCTGGACAGGCGTGTTCCCTAGACGGTAAAACCAAAGTTCCACAAGTGGTCGAGTCATGCAGAGGGTTGAATGAACAGAGGTGGGATGTGGGAAGTTCCTCTGCATAACTTTGTCAGCAGAAGTATCTATTTTCTCTTGACCTCTGAGCCCTGGTTGTGAAAACAGAAGTGTAAAACCAGTCTAAGAGCAGAAGGAGAAATGATATTCATGTAAAAACTGGTCTCCACTTTGTCCCTTGGGCTACCGACATGGTGTGGTTAGAGCTGGAATGACTGGCCTGTGAGTTCAGAACAAAATACCAGTGTTATATTTCTACCGTGCGTTGGTGGTCACTTGTTTGTCTGTCTTGAAACATCCGAGTGCTAATGTTTCTATTTTGGTGAGGAGACTTTTGGTCTGTGGGCAGCTAAGTTAGGAGAGCGTTTTAGCTGCAGTGTTGTCCTTAGTGACCTGTGCTGATAAAATGTCTAAGTTGTTTCCCAAAGGTGAGCATACCATCTGACAGGGGCGGGGGGGGGGGCATCCCTTCAACTGTCAAGTTCTGGCCAAAAACATGTATTATTTCTATTTATTTATTTTTCCAAAAAAAGGCTTGTAAAGAAATACATTAATTTGATATTAGATAAAATCTCCCATTTTTCTTTAAATTTTCTCATAAAATGGGTTGCCATAGATAATTGGAGTTTATTAAACAGCTCAGATAAAGCACAGAATTCTTGCCATATTACCAGCTTTCGTCCAGTGAGCAGAGGTTTGGCTCAGAAAGTTGCTCCGTCACTTTGGTCTAGATCTTTGGTAGTGCTATGATGGTGTTATTAAACTCAGCAGCTTGGGTTTGGGATTTTTAGTGCATTTTTGCAGGTCCAATAGTTATGATTAAAGGAATAGTACACCCAAAACATGATTAGCCTTCTATTCTACTCACCCCCATGCTGAACAAC